GCCCACCCACACACACACACACACACACACACACACACACACACACACACACACACACACACACACACACACACACACACCCCTCTCCTGGTCCCAGGGTACTGGCACACTCCTGCTCTCATGGTCCAGTGATGCAGCCGGGAGCCACGTGGTGCTGGAGCAGCCATGTGTAGGGAAAGCTGCCGCAGGCAGACACTTCCGGGTGGGGGTGGGAGGGGGCTGGGTGTGGGGCCAGACTAGGCTGGCCTTTCTCCTGACTCCTACCAGCTTTCCCTGGGTCTTAACTGCCCCTGGCTCCAGTCATCTTTGACAGGGAGCGTGGAGCAGATAAATATTAATTTTCTAAATTATGTAGGTGGGCCATATAGAATGGCCTGGTGGGCTGAATCCAAATCCCCATGTCTACTTCTGTTCCTAGAAAACTGGTAAAAGCAATTTTAAAAAATTGTTCAGTACATGGATGAATGTGACTTGCTGAGAAAAAAGTGAGTATAAATGGTTAGTTTTTGGGCTGGAAAGATGTAAACATCAGGGTCCTCCAGGAAGCAGTGCTGTTTAACATATTCATAAATGATCTGGAAAAGGAGATGAGTAGCGAGGAGGCCAGGTTTGCAGATAACAAAAATATATTCGAAATGGTAAAGACGTAGGTGGACTGAGAGGAACCGCAGAAGGATCTGGCACTATTAAGTATATGGGCAACTGACTAGCAGATGAAATATAAAGTATAGAGAAGTGTAAAGTGATGTATGTGGGCAAAAGTAACTCGAACTATATCTACACTATTATGGGCTTTACATTAGCTGTTACCACAAAGGAAAGGGATTTAGGAGTCATTGTGGACAGTTCTCTTAAAAAATTATCAGCTCTGCTCAGCTGACATCAAAAAGGCAAACAGTGTTAGAGATGATCAGGAAGGGAATTGTAAACTAAACAGAGTTTCATTATGCTCATTTATAACTCTATGGTGTATTCACATCTTGCATACTTTGGCCAGTTTTGGTCCCTGCACCTCAAAACGGATATAGAAATAGAGAAGGTGCAGAGAAGGGCAACAAGGATGATTAGTGGTGTAGAGGGGCTTCCTTCCATATGAGAAGAGACTAAAGAATCTAGGTCGGGGTGGTCAATTATTTTTGGGTGGAAGGCCACTTTAATGAGGTTTAGGGAGCTTTTGAAAGCTGTATGGGTAGCTCCACCCCCTGGTCACTATCTTATCATAGAATCATAGAAGTAGGGTCGGAAGGGACCTTGTAGATCTTCAGGTCTGACCCCCCGCCTGGGCGGGAGAAAAGACTGGACTCAAATGAGTCCAGCCAGGTAGTCATCAAGCCTCTTCTTAAAGATCCCCAGGGTAGGAGCCAGCATCACTTCCCTAGGAAGTTGGTTCCAGCTCCTAGCTGCCCTGACTGTGAAGTAGTTCTTGCGGATGTCTAATCT